TGTGTGTGTGTGTGTGTGTGTGTGTGTGTGTGTGTGTGTGTGTTCCCAAAAGATTTCTTGAAAGACTTCTTGGGATGACGTGCCTTCCATTGCTCCTGTTTGCCCGGGAGCCGGGGCCCAGGTGACCCAGCAGGAAGGAGGTGAGCCAGGAGCCCAGAGGAGTGGTGACTCACCCAGGCCATGCCAGGGGGCAGGGAGCAGCAGAGCTGGCTTCTGCCCTGGGTTTGCACCTCCCCCTGGGGCAGCTGGGTGATGACAGGACCCTGCCCTTTCCCTCTCCGGGCCAGACTGTCCCTGCGAGGGGAGGGTCGTCATCAGCTGAGCCACTACTGTCTTAGTTAGCAGCCGGGGGCTCAGAGACCAGCTTTCCTGACCTCAGCCTTGCCCCAGCCTGAAAATCTCAGGCTACTGGCTCAGGTGCCCGGAGCGTTTATCAAGGGCCGGGCTTGGAGCCCAGTGCTTTCTGTGTGTCATTTAATCCTCATGACAACCTGACAAAGTAGTTCTACAGTGTTGCCAGCCCCGTGTTACAGGCAGGGAAACTGAGGGTCAGGGGTTTGGTAACTGTCCTGGCCCTGCCTGTCTCCCGTCTTATCTGTGTCCCTCCTCCAGCCAGCATGTTTCCTGCACCTGGAAATACCTTCCCCCACATCTCGACCTCCTCTCTACAGTAGGTGCCACCCCCAGTTCTCTCCATCCCTCTGCCCTGCCTCCCCACTTCTCCCTGCAGGGTCCTTCTCACTGCCACCAATCGCTGGAATAACAAGCCACACTGAGGCTGAGGATTGGGGTTCATCTCTGCACCTAGAACAGCGCCTGGCCTGTAATAGGTGTTCAGTTAGCATTTGTGGGATGAAGGAATGGCCTGGAGGCACTCAGCTGCCCTTCCTCCAGGCCCTCCTTCCCTTCCTCCCCCTGCCCTGGAGGTCACATCCTCTCCCCCCAGACTCTCCTAGCCCCCACGCCTGCCTTCCCTTCCCTTCCCCGGTTCTGATTAGATGCTGTTGGCGGTGATCTTACTGCATCTGCTTCCGTTAGTAAACCTGCAGCTGCCGGAGGACAAAGACTTAGCTCTCTCTGGCCCCACTGTGTTCCCTGCTGCAGCTCCTGAGGGCCCGGGTGGACAGATAGATGCATGAACCAGCGAAATACAAAAGCCAAGACAGGAGCCCAGGTCCCTGTATTCAGGCCCCGCCGTTAGCATTCCCCACCCTCCTGGTTTGAAATCGTGAGTGAGTGGATACAGCGACTGTCCCCTGCCTCTGGTGAGGGGCCCGCTCATTTTCAGACTCAGGCAGAGGCTCCCGGAGTGGCTGGCGGCTGTAACAACTTCTGCAGTTTCTTGTGACAAAGCCCTAAACCGACCATCACCCTTCTCTCAAGGTGTCACTTCCTCCTGAGTGTATTTTTTAATCAAGATGAAACTTTGTCTCAGAGACCAGAGCACTGGAGGAAATTCCTTGGTGGTATTGGATGCTTCTCTGTGCACTGAGTGGTATTGGGTGTGGGTTTAAAGATAAATTGTATTATTTTTTGTTAGTCCTAAAAGTCATACATGTTCATCGTAGCCTAGTTAAGGGATTCAGAAAAATAGAAGAAATCTCGTCTAGTCTCACCACCCACAGACAACCATTTAAACAGTTTGACTGTCGCCTCCAAGTCAGTTCAATGTACATTTTTGCCCTTTTTGGGGGGATGGGGCATAATTTTGACCATACACTATATTCAACTGTGCATCTCCCCCTTTCCCACTGAATCTTATAAGTATATAAATAAAATACCTTAATATTATTAAATATTAAAGTATTTGCATAGTAAATACTAATATTAAATATGTAGTCAATGTTTAATATTGATATGTATTAATATGTATAATTTAGTATTAAAATATGGAATAAAATACTTAAAGACTAATTTTAATGACTATAAGCTATCCTGTCATATGGATTATATCACACTTTTCTTAACTTGTTCAGTTCTTTACCGTTTACCTTATCTTACCTAAGTTCTTAGTTTATCCGTGTGTGTGTGTGTGTGTGTGTGTGAGAGAGAGAGAGAGACACCATCTTAAATCCTTTTGGAAAACACAGAGTATATTACATCTTGTATGTAAAACGTTTAAAATTGCCTGGCCGGTGTGGCTCAGCAGTTGAACATAGATCTGTGATCCAGGAGATCGCTGTTCAGTTCCCGGTCAGGGCACATGCCCGGGTTGCGGGCTCAATCTCCAGTCCTGGGGGAGCCGATCAGTGACTCTCTCATCACTGATGTTTCTCTCTCTCCCTCTCCCTTCCTCTCTCTGAAATCAATAAAGACATATTAAAATAAATAAGTCCTTCTAAAAAAAACATTTAAAATTACCCCCTAAGCTTTGCTTAGTGACAGTATGGTGGCCGATGAGGTGTACCCAAGGCGTGATCATCGCTAATTAAAATTGCTCCCTGAAAGCTAAGCAGTTATTACTTGCTTTGTCAGTACTGCAGTGGCACTTTGATGAACACCATTTTGCATACTTTTTGTTTACATGTAAGATGATTTTATTAGGGTAGATCCCTAGATTTGGAATTACGGTGTCAGAAGACTCTGGGTATTTTGAAGGCTCTTGTCATTTACTGTCAAACTGCTTTTNTTTGAAGGCTCTTGTCATTTACTGTCAAACTAGAAGAAAGATCTGCGGTTTGTACTCTCATTAGCAGTAGGAAGTGTGCGTTCAGTACATCCTGACAGCAGTGGGTGTTTTTTTAATGACCACTAGTTTGTGAGGTAGAAGGTGGCATTTGGTGGTTGATGAGGAGCCCCCGCCCCAGGCCTGTGGGTGGAAGAATGTTCGCCGAATACTCTATCTGAGGTTTTTGTCTTGCAGCTGACTTTGGTGTGTCTGCCAAGAATCTGAAAACTCTGCAGAAACGAGATTCCTTCATTGGAACGCCTTACTGGTGAGTCGGGTAGCTTCTGGACAGGGAATGGTGACGGAACCTTAAACCTCAGACTCCCCAAGGTGACCTCCGGCTGGTGCAGAGGGAGAGGACAGGAAGAAGGCCTGAGCCCGTTCTCTACCACCTGCTGGCGCTGTGGCCTTGGCCAGGTTGCTTAGCATCCCCGTGCCTCAGTTTCCTGATCTGTAAAATCGGGGGACATAATAGCACCCAGTGAGTGGGTTATTATGAGGAATAAATGGTATGGTGTGCGTAGAAAAATGCTCCGTTGTAACACTTTAACTGGAATTCCTAAAACAGGGTTCAATTCTTGATTAGTTCAGCGCGTGCAGATTGGGTGCCAGGGCTGGGGCTGTGAAGTTGAGGGATCAAGTTCAGCTCCTGCCCTCCTGTGAAGTCTCCCTGGACTTCTCTAGTCCTTGGCGTTTCCTTCTTTTCCAAAACTACCGCTTAAAAAACAACAACAGCTAACTGCTTTCTGTTTTTCATGTGCACCGATTCCCTTTGTGGAGTTGGGCTCTGCCTTGCTTGTTACTACTCACCCCTTCTCTC